TTAAACCATATTTGACTAAGAACCTGAGGAAATTGAAAACTCAGAAAGAAAACAAAAGTATATTTTCTACTCAGACCAGATATCTGTTACATAGTGGTATGAATAACACCTGGGATTCCAACTGATTAAAGAACATACTTTCTAAAGAGTCCTTTTATAGCATTACAGCAAAAAGTTACTAATTTCCCAAGCTCTTGATCCAAATACCATGGATGTTTGTGTAGAGATGTGAAAGCGAAGACTGTGGCAGGTGGACAGGATAGTAATAGTAATGAAGAGGGGTAAACCAGACAATTGAAGAATATTGACGAAGAGAAAGGATCTGCAGAGAGGTTAAGAATATACAGAGAAGAAAAGGACAAATTTTGTCTCATATTTGAGATTTTGTAACTTTTTCCCCATTAGCCTCCTCTAAGACAGGGAAGTCCGACTTCTGAGTGGCTGGGGGCTGCATGCCACATCTGTAAGGACTGTGTACCCACATCCTTCCCCCCCCCACTGCTGCACTGCGTACCCATGCAGGCAGTCCCCCAACCACTTCTGCAACAGAGACACACAGTTCTTGGTTAACAGAGATGTCAAATGACACTGTTCATCAATACAGTATCATAATCATAGCCTGCTTACTCATGAAATAAGTGATGAGATATACAGATGTTATCTTAAATAATGCCTTGAGCTCCTGTAAATCTAATCATTGCCATTTGAAAAAGAGAGAGATTCAGGGTCAGTCATTAAAGTGAAACACTATTAACAAAAAATGCTGTGCTTCATTTAGTGAACATCAAACTAAGCATATTACAGTCTTCTCCTTGCTGATTTCCCACTAAAGGTCTGATCAAGGATTTGTTTGGCATGGGCTCTATTGATACCTTCACGGCACTGGTCTTGGTTAATGTAATTTACTTCAAAGGAAAGTGGAATAAAGGATTTGAAGAAGAAAACACTAAAGAAATGCCTTTTAGGATAAACCAGGTATGGAGAGTGAGCATCCCTCTTACTCTTAAGTGATAGTGAAGTTCCCTGTAGTTCAGTAGTAGAATCCTTGCCTACCACACAAAAGACCTGGGTTTGATTCCCAGACACTTAGACAACTATAAGCATGGAGGCACCAAAGATCTGAATTCAGTCTAGTCCTTGGATTCTGTCTCAGTGCCCTAAAGGGAGGATGGAAGGTCTGGGCAGCCTCCACTTCTCCAAACAGGGTGTGGGACCTGGGACAAATCAGCCTGTGTGGGGCCCTGCTCTCTGGACATGAGGAAGCCAGTGGTGGATTTGGCAGCGAGGGGGGAGTGCTGAGCGGCTGGACGTGCTGGATTCAGCGGGGGGCAGGCAGTCACAGCGTGGAGTCATCACAGCTACGCTAGCCAGCTCCCCAGGGCCCCACAAAGTGCAGAACGCAGGGCGGTCTCTCCAGTTGCCCCCCCCCGCCACACATACACACACATGCTAGGGATGGCCCTGCCTCCAAAACTTCCTGCCCAGGTATACGCAATGAATGTCTGGGTGGCCCTCATGCATACACCATGATACAGGTTGACAGTTGCTAAGTGATAGCATAGTAAACTATATAAAAACACCATCTCAATATTGTATAATTTTACTACTGATTTAAACATTCTTATATTCTTCCATTTCCTATGACCTACTTCCCTAATTTTATTTCTGGACAACATAAACGGCTTGTTCTAGGACAGAGTTAAGTCGGTTTAAGCACGTGAATAAGCCAATATTTTTTAAATTAATGCTTGTAAAGTGTTGTGTTCTCTCACATTCATCTTTCAGCAAGAAACGAAACCTGTGCAGATGATGCATCAGGCTGGCTTCTTTAAAATAGCCTCCATAGGATCAGAGAAGATCCAGATCCTGGAACTTCCTTATGCTAATGAAGAATTGAGCATGATCATATTGCTACCCAATGACATTTCTGACCTAGACCAGGTAAAACTTATTTCAGCTCTAGAAATGGACTCAAGAGAGTCAAGAAGAATATATAACTCTGTTCCTTTCTTAATCCAGCTACCACAAATGCCATTTACAGATATAGATACTTGCAATGCAGTAGCCATGTCAGGAATACAGTGGCCTCCAGTTGACTAGCAATTGTGTCTTAGCAATAGGTCTTAGAAGAATCTGTTTTACTGAAAAAAAATGTGATTCAAGAAAAAAAGAGTTCTTAACAGAACAATCATCATCCCTAAGCCTTGGCTTTCAAGGACCTAATTTTCTATGGCATTATGTGCTGACATACACAAGTAACAGTTGAGAAGCATACATTAGTTTTCCAGTTTTGTTATTATTGTTTTTTTAAGAGGCATGTTTCAGGAAGTTGTAGAGGAAGAAGAAACCGGGTAGATGGGAATAACGAAAAGATAAAGAAATAATTGCAAGGAGGCTGGACAGCAAAGAAACAGTTGGCACCAATACCTGTTAGTGAAAGGATTATACATCATTGGCTAAAGAATGTGCTACAACTCATAAGAAACTAACTAAACATTTGTAAATTAATGGAAAACACCAAGGAATCAAGAGATAAAGGAACTTGAGCTTCTGCCATAGAAAGTGACATGTGATAATTGCTGTAGGAGTAATATAAGCATGGAATAGCAATCATAACTCTGACACAAGCACTAAAGGATGTGTGATACACAGGAAAAATTTTAAAAGTGAAAATTTGGTCAAGTAATATTATATGACATTAATGACATGATGACTAAAGAAAAAGGAAGGGCACTATTGAAAAAACTTGATCAATTTTGGTTACACCTCACTGTGAAGAAGGATGCTAAGAAAGAATGTACTGGGGTAGTCCTGAGAGCATCTTCTATAGATCTGTGGGGTCAGAACTGGAAAAGGAGAGAAATATCTAATGTTATTAGAGATAAATACATTGGGAATTGTATCATTATGGGAGATCCACAGAAAAGCCCGTGTTGGACAACATTACTTTTATGTAGCAGTCTTTTTGTCAGCAGGTTTCTGCAGAAACTTCCAAGCTATCAAACAGTATAAGTATGCCATGCACATAATAATGCAGATCACACTTAGAAGATTTAGTTGAATAGCAGGAAGAGACATGGACCAATTTACTGTCTCTGCACAGTCATGTGGAAAAATGGATTATGATTTCAGTATTATGGTTCTACTGTTCCTTTTTTATAGCTTGAAAATACAATCAACTTTGACAAATTAATGGCCTGGACAAGTTCTACCAATATGAGAAAAAGGAAAGTGGAAGTTTACCTCCCCCGGATGAAGCTTGAGGGACAGTATAGTCTTGCACCAGTGTTTAGCTCTTTGGGCATGACTGACCTCTTTACCCAGTCAGCTGATCTCTCTGGCATCTCTACAGGAAGGAACCTGGCCGTGTCAGAGGTCATCCATAAATCATACATGGAGATTAATGAAGAAGGCACTGAGGCAGCAGCTGCCACTGGAGTAACCATTGTGCTAATGTCTCGTGTGTTTCCTATAAAGTTTAAGGCTGACCACCCTTTCCTCTTCTTTATCCATCACAAGAAAACCAACCTCATTCTCTTCTATGGTAGAGTCTCCTCCCCTTAATAAAGCAGGGATTATGCAACAGGTTCTTATCCCACAGAATCAACAGACTACTAGTCATAATTAAATTACTACCAATTAAAATATAGTATTTTCTTTCTGTTTCTCTGCTGATCACATTAATTGTACTTTGACTGCCCTGTTCTGTCAAGTGTGATAAAAATTAAATTCACCAGATTTTGATCTATTACAGTTCTGATCTCCTTGATAAACCACAGCATTTATCTGTATTTTCTTAGGAATCTTTTCCTGAGCTATTTTTTTTTCACTCACTCCTCTCTCCTCAATATTAATCTAACTATAAAAGACTGGTGTGGCTATCAACAATGTTAAGCTTTTAGGCTTAATGGAGTATTGCAGTTTAATCCTTCATTTAAAGCTGTTCCTTTCTTTTGAAGCTGGATTTTCACATGCTAGCCTTCAGGTTAATGCAGGCTTTAATGTTTTGAACATTTATATAGAAACTTCTCACTGCTGAACAGAGTGACAAAAATACTGGCTCTAATTCACTGCTTAGAATCAGTGCTGGAACAAAGCTCCAAGATGAAACTAAAGCTATTTTGTGTGTATGGCTTAAAGAGAAAATAAGCAGATATAAAACGCAAAGGTACCAAAACAGACTTTATAGCAGTGGTAACTGAGAACTCTGAGAACAGAGAATCTGGATACTACTTCCTGGTCATGTCTACATGAGATATTTACTGCACAGTAAACTAATAAACTGTGCAGTAAATGTCACACATCTACATATGTGTCCCTATTAGGCTGGAGTAAACTAATTTGCTCTGCAGCACGATAGTACTTGTAAATACTATAAATACTAAAATACTACTTGTGAATACCTGGAGTTTTTTACTCTGAAGCAGGATAATACTCATAAATACACAGCAGCAGCACATGTAGATGCTGCCCCAGCTGGCAGGAGCACAAGGGTGCTTCAGTGTGGGAGCTACCTGCAGGCTAGCCCTACACTGAAACACCCTTGTGCACTAGCAAGCCCCTACACAGCATGTTGAGCCAAGGGGGAGCAGCCCCAGGCTGGCAGGATGAGCCCCAGTGCCCCTTGCCAGCAGGGGCTACTTCAGCCTGGCTCAGCATGCTGCAATCCTGAGTACATGTATAAACACATCGCATTTACTAGACAGTGTATTGCATTGTATTAATATGCACGTGTAAACATGCCCCCCATCTTTGAGCATAATCCTCTTAAAATCTGTACACAATTTTGGCTAGGGACCGTATCTTTTCATATATGCAGAATTTAGCAAAATAGGGGCCCTTAACTTGAATGAACCTGTTTAGTATTAACAGGAGTTATAGGAGAAGCTGACTTAAATAGTTGCCTATTATAAGATAGTAAAATAACGACTGAGAATTCTACCCACCGATTTGTTGTGTGAGTGTTACAATAGATATGGCTTTAAGTTACGATATTTACGGAAGTCTGATGTAAAACATTTTGCACTGCTCACAGCTATGACTTGTTCTAACTCAGACTTTTGGAATGTCTTGACAATTTTACTCCATACACAGCTGTTTGCACCCTCAACACTCATCTGTTTCAAGTTTTGAAAAACTTTGAATGCATTTGGCTCTGCCAGTGGGACACCCCTCCCCGGTAGCCAGCTGGATGCTGGGCCCCCACCCCCCCAGTCATGCCCTGCTGGTGCCCCCACAGAATCAGGAGACACCAGTCACCCATTATCAGAGTAAATTATTATCACTAGCAGGGAATTTTCTGCTGTTAAGTTTTAACTTATTCTCAGACTTACTCTCAGAAGTAGATAAGCTTTTTGCTCCATTTGACACATGAGGAAATGGAGATTCAGGGAACTTACCTGTGACTTGTTAAAAGCCACCCAGTTCATTAGTGAGAGGAATTCTTGGTCCCTTTCTTAAAATATTATTTCAGGCAACCTTGCTTAAATATCTGGTGAAAGTGTGTATTTTTTGTGTCATTCTGTACACAGGACAAATGAACCCCCTGATAAAGTGGCATTGCCTGCATGGATTAAGGGCCTATAGTAAAGCTAAATTAAATGCATGGAGGTTATTTTTCTTCTTACTGTGATTCTGTCAATTCCTACCAAAAGAAAAATACAAAAGTACTGACAGAAGAAACTTTCCATACATGAGGTCATTAACCCAATCAAATCTATTCAGTGGCTGTGTCAGTGCCACAGAGATAGTAAAATGGACACAGAGAGAAAGTTATTCCAATAATTTATCAATAAAGGAAGTTGGTCAAACAGAGTCAGATGAAAAGTTAACAAAATCCTCAGACATACAAAAAACTAGAACTCTTGGTTCCAAAATGATACCTTTTTAGACCAACTGGAAAATGGCAAGAAAATTGTCCTTTTCTGCAAGCTTTCGGGATCAAAGTCCCTTTGTCAGGCTCTGGGAAAAGTGTAGACGGCATAAGATGGTAAAAAGTCCCCACAGGTAGGAAATAAACTTCATTTTTGCAGAGGGAGCTGAAGATGGAAGTCTGTCCCTCTAGGTCCATGAGTGTCTTTGTGAGCTGTGTTGAGTAGCTCTTTGATGTGTTATCAGGTAGAATTCCTTCCCTGGAGGTGTCAGATGGCAGGCAGGGAGGCAAAAAAAATTCCTTGTTGTTCTGCAGTGAAGTTTAAAATCCAAAATCGCCTGAAATTCAGCATCTTCCATGTTTCAGGGGTGTACTTGGTAGCCGTGTTGGTCTGAGACAAAAAGACATACAAAAAACTAGAACTCTTGGTTCCAACATGATACCATCTGACACCTCCAGGGAAGGAATTCTACCTGATTTCTCAGATGATGGAATTTTTTTGTTTATAATTTTTTGTTTATAATTTGTTGTTATTAAAATGTGGGGTAGTGGTGTGCATATGTCTGTCTGTGTGGTGCCTGCTTTAGGCAGGGAAGTCCGGAAGTGGCAGGTGCTGGTGCTGTCTAGCTCAGGGGTTTGCATGTAAAATTCCTGGTGGGAAGGTGGTGAGCTCAAGTGTGGGTGTGGACCCAGAGAATCAACTGAGAAGCATATCCCCGGTGACCACAAGAAAAAATGTTTTCACCCCAACACATGGCAAGCTGAGATGGGCCACAGAACCCATGGGACCAGTGCCAGGGCTGCAGGGCTAAAAGCTGCAGGGCTCATTGTGGCATGCTGAAACCCTTTGGGTTTTGGCATGCCATGCCAAGCCCCAGATTTCAGGGCTATGCTTCCATCAGAGCACTCCGAGTATCTGTGAGGAAGGGGAACTTGGGGCAGCCCCATTTTTTTTTTCATTTTGAGGCAGCTGAGACCATTGAGGCCCCAACATGAGCACCAACTATGCCACTGATTGCCAACTATGAGGGGGCACCAGAACACCCCCCAGCAGAAGCTTTTGCTATGGTGAGGACAATCCTATGCTGCTTGGCCACAGGAGCCAGGCAGTGCAGCGCCACACCCAGCAGTGTATCTGGGGACTGAGGAAAAGGGTGGCAAGTGGAGTGAGTGGATAATGCTCCTCCTCCCTCTGAGGAGTCTTTGTCATAGCAGGCACAGCTCTGCACCCAACAGCATATCTGCAGGGAAAGGGGAGGAGAGCAAACAGGGGACCAGGTGTGGCTCCCAGGGAGCCTGCACCACAGAGGTATTGCCACCAGAGCTAAGGTGATGATCGCCCATCCCTAATTGGGCAGGACAGTCCCAAAATGTGAACATCAAGTCCAGATCTCCAAGCACTAACCCTGAGATAGTGCAGAGTCACTTGGAAGGACTGGATGTGTTTAAGTCAGCAGGCCCTGATGAGCTCCATCCAAGGGTACTGAAGGCACTGGCTGATGTCATTGTACAGCCACTGGCAAGAATATCTGAGCACTCGTGGTGCACGGGCCAGGTCCCAGAGGACTGGAAATGGGCCAGTGTGGTCCCTATTTTCAAGAAGGGGAGGAAGGAGGATCCAAGCAACTACAGGCCAGTCAGTCTCACCTCCATCCTTGGCAAAGTCTTTGAAAAGATTATTAAGCTTCATATATGTGACAGCCCAGTAGGAAAAATTATGCTGAGGGGAAACCAGCATGGATTCGTAGCAGGTAGATCATGCCCGACTAATTTAGTCTCTTTTTATGACCAGGTTACAAAACACCTGGACGCAGGAGTAGAGGTAGATATCATTTATTTAGACTTCAAGAAGGCCTTCGATACAGTATCCCACCCCATACTGGTGAACAAATTAAGAGGCTGTGACTTGGATGATTACATAGTCTGGTGGGTGGCAAATT